TTACCTCCTTCTCCCCCACCCCCTCCTGGCGGGTCAGTCTCCCTGCTGACCAGGCCCGGGGAGATTAATTAATTATCAGTTAATAATTACTTACTGATGCTAAGGTTTCCTTAGAGTTTCACAGACTTTAATCTGAATTTCTTTTCCTCCAAGTAGCTCCTGACTCTGCAGAGCTAGAAGATCTTTTTCAAAAACTCTCTAAAATTGTATGCAGATTATGTTCATTGCAAAAGTCTCTCTCCCATCCCCCATTTTTACTCTTGGCTGCCATGGTATCATTCCTTCTTTGAAAACGTAGATATCCCCTGCATTATAAAACCACAAATTTTGAGCATATCTAAGGCTGCCCTTGTAGTGTCACTAAAAGGAAAGAGAATGAGTGAACGTGTGGAAATGTGGAATATGCTGGAAATTCAATCCGGCTGATGGAGCAGTGCGATAGCCCGGCAGAGCCCCTTATCAGAGGCACTCAATTTATGCCTCGTTTAATATGGTTCCGACAGCTTAGGGTATATCTTCACTGTACAGACATACCAAGAAAACAAAAAGAGCCTGTGTTTGGCTTTTACAATTTCATTTTTTCTTTCTTACTGCTTCTAATACTGAAGTTATTTGCCTTGCTTTTGCTCTCTCATCCGTAGTTTTTCACAGGGCAGTAATGAGTCTCTTGGTCATTCCAGAATATCTGTAGGAAACCCTCTTCTTATTTTCTGTGAAGTAGAAAGATTCCCTAATCACCCCCAAGTACACGTAATCAATAGGGATATGCTAATTTTTCTAGTTAGCTGCAAGACGAAATTAGTCCTGCTGAGAAGCTCTTCCATACAGAGGAATGTTATTAACCTGGGTAGTTGACCAGCTCCTCATTTTTTTGAAATATAAAATGCAGTGCTCTTTGTTTCATCTCTATAATCATCAGTATGGATTGGACTAAAATTACTAATTTCAGAAAGGACATTGCTGTAGACTCCTATGGGACTACTACAAAAATAGCAGTGAAAACTCATTCATTATATGTTATCAGCCTATGTAGGAAGGAGATTAGATACAAAATAAGATATATTTTAATACCATTGCACATTGATGTGAATACCCATGAGTCTTTTAAAATTCAAAGTTTAAGGGAATTTTCCCCCCACTAGTGCTGAAGGTAAATTCACTATAAGCTTATTTTAGAGTATATTGCAAGGAATGTTTCTCGTAGCAGTTATTTTGGATAAAAACAATAACCATATAGAATGCCTTAGATATCACACTTTTTTCCTGAATAAAACTGCTGTTCAAAAACCTTGACACATAAGAGGAGTGCAGTTCAGCACAATTCCTGAGAGTGGAGTGCTAAGGACCGGGCTTGCAGACACTAGGAGTTGGAAGGAGTCTTCAGGAACACAATCAAATGAGGAGGTCAGGAGGCATCTAGACAGGGGACTGACAGCACCTGCTTCAAGGGGTCACAGTGCCGACTTGTGCCACTGCAGTGTATGAGGAGCAAATCCAGACAGATTCCCTGACTCCACATGCCAGACTGTTGTCCAGACATGGTGCTGCTACTGACCATGAATCCACACTAGGGCCACTTCAATTTGTAACTAAAATAGTCATCAAGTGCAATAATTATAAACAATTCAATGGTCTAAAACTATAGGGAAATGAATATATATCACTGAGAACAAAAGTTCTCTGAAATTTGAAGGAAAGAGATCAGTAAACCCAGGAGCCTCATGTGTGAAACAAAAATGTGTTCCAGAGAACAAAGAGAAGGCTAGGGGTTGAGAGCAAAAGCTCCTGTCTAGGTTCTAATCAGGTTTATTTGCACAACTAAAGGATTAAAACTCACTTAATTATTTTTCTATTGAGGAGAGTCTCGCTCTGTTGCCCTGGGTAGAGTGCCATGGCATCATAGGTCACAGCAATCACAAACTCTTGGGCTCAAGAAATCCTCCTGTCTCAGTCTCCCAGTTAGCTGGGATTATAAGCACCCACCACAGTGTCCAGCTATATTTTTCTATTTTTAGTAAAGACAGAGTCTCAGTCTTGCTCAGGCTAGTCTTTAACTCCTGAACTCAAGCAATCCAGCTGCTTGGGCCTCTCAGAGTGCTACAATTACAGGCGTGAGCCAAGATGCCAGCTTCACGTAGTTGTGATTGGTCAGCACAGCTGAGCACAGATGAGCTGTGATTGGATGGTTCTTGTGAGCACTGAAATTTTCAAAGATAAAAGGTGCATATTCTTCAGGGAACTCATAATGCTTGTGTGACCCCTCCCTGAGGCTGTTTGGCTATGTTTAAGTTGAAGCCCAGTTAGCCAGTTGGGCTCCATCTTGAAAAATTGTCTATTTCAGGCTCACTCTTGTACATGCCACTATCCCTTCCTCTTTACAAGCTGATAGATAGTTATGAGAGTATTAAGGCATTTAAATTATTTTCATCTATAATGATAGTACCCGAAAGTTTATTTACATATGTGTAACAAATCCACAAATGTGGTAAACCTCTACTTAGTTAACTCACTAGTTAACTACATATCCATTTTTAGAATTGGTAGAAACATTCTAAAATATATTTAAAAGTTCCATTAATGCTTTGCTGAGTTAAATCTTTTTCTCATTTCAGAGCCTTAATTCCAGGCTTATGTCCCCATTTCTGCCATCATTTACAGACCACTTAGCTCTAATTTTTGTGTAATTTAGACAAGGACCATGTTACTTCGTTTTTATTTAAATTATATAAAATCATTATAAAAGGGGAAAAAGACATTCTCTTAGACTGCATTGGTATTAAGTCAATAAGTCAGAAAAAGGTGCACTCTACTTGCTACACATTGTAAGTTCTCCCTTTTTACGGATTTAGATAATTTTCTAAAATGAAAAGTCTCTAAGGAAGACAGCTCCAGGGTCCTATTTAACTATCACCAGACAAAAATAAGAAGAATTAACAAAATTAATGAGATCATATACCTTCATCATGCCATGGAAGGAAATGACCATTTTAGTATGAGTATCTTAATTTAAATTATGGGTATTCTCTTCACCCAGTGTCACACAGTCTTGAAAAAAAATCACATCTGTTAATAAAAAAGCATCAAATACTACCCCATTAAAATGATACTGTGGTGATGAAATAGCAGAAAATAGTACAATAATTACACAAATTGTTGTCATTTTATTAAGTTCTGCAAAATGTTACGATTTTAACATCCTTAATTGAATGATTCTTTTTTAAATGCTATTTCGATGCTAATAAGAACCATGCATATTTTGTTCTACTCTCACAAAGTTTCCTAAATGATTAATTTTTCCAAAGCTGATGCCTTCCTGGAATTTTTCCTCCTAAGATCATTTCCTGTCTCACTTAGATTCATTATGTTTTCTCCTTTTACATGAGCTTTGACATCAAAATGTTGTTTTCTTGGGAAGCTGCTGGTATTTGGGTGATTTCAGAGAAGAAATATGTGCAGAATTCCAAATGAAAGGTGTTCCCAAATATTGAGTTTAATTATGAAATTTTACAGATAGATAGATAGATACATACATACATACATTGATCAGTGGTAAATTAGATTTTCTCTTTTTCCTCCTGTGCCTTTCGTAAGGTCATTTCTTCCTAGTGGTAGGAGGTAAAAGAATACCATGAGTGCAGTGACCTTTAATGGTTGCCTGCTACAGATTGGAGTTGGACCAGTTCCTGACCTCAAGTGTAGAGCCCCCAAAGTGGACAGGAATTGGTGATGTATCCTTAGAAGACACCCAAAGTACTGACAACAAATGTAAACCCCAAACAGCCCAGAGTTGTTGTTTATGAGTCACCTTCTCCTTTTTACCAAATGGGACATTATTGAGCTTGATTTGTGTCTGCTCCTGGGATAGCAATGACTGAGAAATTCTGAATTTCTGACCGCCAGTCTTTCCTGAGCCAAACACTTAGCCATACTTCTTGGTTCTGTGGCCACTCTGATTCTCCACAGTGCTTTATTATATGGACATTGTCTTACTTGTGCCTGTCTCTGGCAAGTTCTTAATCTTGAGCTGACAGTCTCCTACCCTCCAGGAAGGTTCCTACAACTTCCTGCCAACCCCAACCACTGTGTGATCAAGAATGAAAATTAATTTAAATTTCATCCTGTGAAAAACATAATTAGCAAGGGGAATCTACTGCCAAAATAAATTATGCCCCTCATTTCCATAGGCAAATGGATTTTTTTTTTAAATTACTCACCGCTTTGCATTGAAGTCTATTTGTATGGATAATTAGGAGTTGACGAGCATGTCATTCTAAGGCATTCCCACATTTTCAAATCCTTTATTGCTTCTTCATCCATCCTCTTCAAGTTCAAAATTTATTTCCTACAAGTCCTCTGCCCCCTTGGGTCATCCAGCCCAGGAGAGCTGACAAAACTGGGGCCTTGTCCACAAGCCCAGTTCCTTTGATAATGCTCCAGAAGTCGCTGTTAGCATCTGCTGTTAGGCACATAACCCTATAGGAAAGCGCTGACAAGGAGCTGGCAGGTAGGACCACACAACAGCTTTTGTTTTCTTCCTTAAATACGATAGTTGAAAAAGGTGGTGGTGAAATTCTACAGAAAGGTTAAGGGACAGTAGGGAAAGGAAACAGCATTTGCAGACAGAAAGGGAAAGAGAGAAGGAGGGAGGGAGGGAGACAGAAAATGTCTGCTGCTCTTACATTAAAATATAGTTTATGGATTCTTGGAATATTGCCTCCAAGACTGCCAGACCCTAAGAAAGCTATAATATTTCTCGGGAAGGTCTGGGAAGGTTAGCTATAACATGGAGCCCCCTGAAAAACTGAATTATAGCAATGAATAGCAATTAGGAGTACCCATTCTAAAAATAAGATCCTGTGTGACTTTGAACAGATCACAGACCCTCTCTGAGCCTATTTACTTTTATAAGATGAGGACCATGTTCTTTTTTCTTTCCTTTTTTTTTTTTTCTTGAGACAGAGTCTCATTCTGTCTTCCTACCTAGAGTATAGTGGTGTCATCATAACTCACTGACACTCCTGCCTCAGCCTCCTGAGTCGTTGGTACTACAGGCATGTACTACCACCCTCAGCTTTTTTTTTTTT